CAGCCCGCTCTCCACCTTGCCGAACACCCTCACCCACACGTACCCCTCGTGCTTCTTCGTCGTGATGCCGAACTTGGTGCTCGAGGCCTCGCTGCTGTGCCACTTGCCGCTGACGAGGCCCTCGGCGCACGGGAGCATCACCTTGTTGCTCACGATGCCCGACAGGATGGGCGCGCCCCCGCTGCCGTCGTTGCACTCGTAGTCCCCGCCCACGAGCTCGTCCTTCGAGGTGCTGTCCACCAGGTTCAGGAGGCGAGTGCGGGCGTACGAGGGACCGGCGTGGCCCGTGCACATGAGGACGAACTGTCGGCCCAGCGCTACGTTCATGTCGGGGATGAGGCGGACGTAGACGCGTCGGGGGGGCGAGTCGGGCCAGGCCAGGTCGAGGAAGGCCAGGCCCGACGACATGTTGGCGTGGTCCATCACCTTGCGGTACTGCGGGGTCGGGGGATAGATGGATAAGCTGATAGATACGTACATAAGTAGATAGACTGATAGATGCGTACATAAGTAGATAGACTGATAGATAAGTACATAGATAGAGAAGTTGATACATATGTAGATAGTAGATAGATAGACAGATAAGTTGATATGTAGATAAATTGATATACAAATAAGCTGATAGATATGTAGAAAACTAGATATATAGATGAGTTGATAGATGGATATGTAGATACATATATGCATACATACATATATATATATATATAATATATATATATATATATATATAATATATAATATAATATATAATATAAATATATATATATGTGTGTGTGTGTGTGTGTGTGATAGATAGACAGATAAGTACATAGATAAATAGATAGATCCAATAATCTGTATAAAAAAACATTTCTTTTTTACGTGTATCTACCCACTATAAGGTTACAAGAAAATCTCGATATATTTTCCGGACATAATGAAATTTGCATTAAAGATTAGACTGGTAATGATAGCGTTGTGTTGTAGATAAGGTGATTTAATATCTACATGACTGATAGAAAAAAATAGACATGTTCATTCACAAACTCATACATTCACAAATAGGAATACAAATTTATATACATAATACATAGATATAAATACTCGGATATATGCAAATTACACACACTCTCTGTTCCGTAAAGACAAACACATATTGACACTAATACACACAAATACACAGGGCACACAGACAAAAAAATATATAAAACGCATACGCATACAACATAGAGATAACATAGACACTAATATACACTGCATAAACATACACATGAATAAATTTTTAAAAACATGCACATAAACACATACATGAATAGGCCTACAATTCATACAAACGTACATAAACAGGACAAGCACACTAACATACATAACACACACACACACACACACACACACACACACAACACACACACACACACACACACACACACACACACTCTCTCTCACTCTCACTCTCTCTCTCCTCTCTCTCTCTCTCTCTCTCTCTCTCTCTCTCTCTCTCTCTCTCTCTCTCTCTCTCTCTCTCTCTTCCACACACACACACAACACACACAACACACACACACACAACTCTCTCTCTCTCTCTCTCTCTCTCTCTCTCTCTCTTCTCTCTCTCTCTCTCTCTCTCTCTCTCTCTCTCTCTCTCTCTCTCTCTCTCTCTCTCTCTCTCTCTCTCTCTCTCTCTCTCTCTCTCACACACACACACACACACACACACACACACACACACACACACACACTCTCTCTCTCTCTCTCTCTCTCTCTCTCTCTCTCTCTCTCTCTCTCACACACACACACACACACACACACACACACACACACACCACACACACACACACACACACACACACACACACACACACACACACACACCACACCCGCCCCACGCCGCGCCGCCCGCCGCCCCCGCCCCAACACTTGCCAAACCTGCCTCTCCCACCCACCGGGATAGTATAGGCGTGCGTGGGCGGTGACTCATCCTCCAGATGGTGCAAACAGACGGTCTCCTTATCCATCGTTATCCTGGCGTATCGTGGGCGGCCTTGCTCATACTGGACGCCCACCAGCTGCCCGCCCTCCATCAGCTGGGTTATGGGCGTGGTTGTCTTCAGGGGAGGAAGGGGCGGGGGTATTTTAGTAGACGATGCAACGGGCGGGGGATGGAAAAACGTAAAAAAAAAATGACTTCAACTAAGTTTAAAACTATTCTAAATCTAAATCAAAATAGGTAATCTATCCTCTTAAAACCTTTTTCATTGCGTTTATGAATATCAATTTTCAATTTATTTATATTCCTTTTAATGGTTTATTATACTACCTATCTCATCGTTTGCTGTAATGCTTCCTTGTAATTACGAACTGTACACATTTACATTTACACAAATTTACATATACAGTACATCTAAAAACGTACCTGGTAGATAAGATACAATTTGTAAGGCACCCAGTGAGCACAGATCCCCCCCCCCCAAACTTTCTACTTACAAAGCTACTCCCCCAAAAATCCGCTAATTCAGTG